ATTTCTACCTGTGCTGAGGTATCTCTCAGTTTTAATGTGTGTGTGGTGGGAGCATGAAGTTCAAACAGGAAGCAATGAAAGGGCTTTGGTAAGTACTGCTTCTCTGTGGCATGAAGTTCAAACAGGAAGCAATGAAAGGGCTTTGGTAAGTACTGCTTGGCTGTGGATGATTAAACACACACACACACACACACACACACACACACACACACACACACACACACACGGGAATGAGCCAACCCGTCTCCTCATGCACGTATGCATTGCTTTCCTCTACCTCTCCTGAGTGTCCTTCACTACAGAGAGGTGGCCAACAAACGGCTGTCCCTCTGGGAGTTTGGGAAACAAAGAAAATTTAAAAAGCAGAAGTTCTTTTCCAAAATGGAAGAATTCTCCATGCATGCTTTATAGTGGTCTTTCTATGACTCTGAGATATAGGAAAGCCATTTTCTTGGAACTTAACTAAAAAAAAAAATTGCTATGATTTATGGAAATGAAGATGGAGCTGCATATGCAGATCTTACCCGTGGTTAGCCTAGATGTGAATTATCTTAGCCATGGAAATCATGACTATCTTAATTTTACCTATCATTTTGACTTAGCCTTGGCCCAACTGAGAAAGAAGTCTCTATTAGGGATTTTCCAGCCCAGATTGGACAGTGGACATGCCTGTGGGGGGTTGTCTTGATGGTTAATTGATGTAAGAGGGGGGCTGTGGAATGTTCCACTCCCTTGGCAGGTGATCAGGAGTTGTGCAAGAAATCTACCTAAGCATGAGCTTGTGAGCAGTCCTGAAAGCTCCATCCTGCATGGTTTCTCTTGCGCTTATTTGACTATCAAGTGAATTTCTTTGGCAAAGCCACTATGTAGCATAGCAAGAGAGCCTGCAGGCAAGTTCCTGTTTGAATTTCCCCCAATGACGGACCACAGTCTATATAAACCGTTTTGTCCTCTACATCACTTCTAGTCAAGGTATTTTATCAGAGCAACAGATGGGAAACTAGAATGCCTAAATTATGGTGGATAGCATACATGGTTAAAAACACTGAAGTTGGAAGGAGCCAGATATGGGTTCAAACATTACCTTGGCCATAGACTTTATGATCTTCACATCTGTGTCTTCACCTGCGTGCTTATGAATGGGGATAAAATAATTACTGATCTGACATATTATGGTATTAGTTAAATGAAAATGATACATTCAAAGTTAACAGAACTCCTAGTGACATACAGTGCATTTGGCATAAGTAAGTCATTGGCATACAGATATACAAGCAAAGGCATTATGAATGCATATTAGCACACTTTGCTTGAGGTCAATGGGAGTTGGATTCTCTAGAAATACCAGAGCTTCGTTTTAAAGTTTTATATCTGTTGTTAGTGAATTTATGGACAAGTTGGATAATGGTGATTTGATTCTGACTGCAACAAATCAATTATGAAATAGTGTATCTATGCTCAGAAAAATCTCAACATGGACTAGATATTTGAAAATACCAAGGAATTTGCATTATTTTTGATATGTATGACAATGGCTTATGATTGCTCTTAAAGCCCGTATTAGTTTGAGACCCTGAACCAAGTGGTTATTTTGCAAGTAAAATGAAATGATTGAAGTTTGACTGAAAATAACTCCCATAAATTAAGGACAGAATGAATGAGAATATAGAAGACATAACATTGGTTAACAAGTTCTTTTTACTGAAGCTGACCCAGTGGTATGAGGAGGCTAATGTATCTCATCTCTGGAGAGTTACCAGCAGTGACTTTGTCAATGGATGTTAATGGATTAAATTAGATGAAAAGTGTACATAAACTACAGAAATCATCAATGATAACAATAAAGGCCTTCATTGTAGCATATCTGTGTGTGTGTGTGTGTGTGTGTGTGTGTGTGTGCAGATATGAGACAGACAGGAAAACATTTTACTGTGAAAATCATAGAATTTTATGTTACATAATTGCCATCTTATTCAATAAGCATCCATGTAATATCTTGGTGTGGTGCACCTTTTCTTGTACAAATGCACCTTTCCCCTAGCTACAACAATTCTAGATTTTTAGAATGTTCTGCCAAAAATATCATCCTTATGTTATATCATCTTTATGGATATATATATATATATATATCATATACAAAATGATATATATTATAGATATTACATTTGAAAACTCCAAAGTAGCAAATTTTTAAAGTCCAAATATTTTTTTCTAGATTTCTAAGACCTGAAAATTTGGTCTACCTCAATCCCCAAGTATTTTTCCCATAGTCCCTTTTGAAGCAGGCAGAGAAGTCAAACTACATCCACACCTTGAGCATAGTTCAAGGATTGCCTTTCCAGCTTCATCTTCATGTAGGCCCTGGAATAAGGTCATCACCTCATAATCCTTCTCCCCTCTCCTGAACCAGGTGATTGACACCTCTACTTGGAAAACTTTCACATTTGCTCTATAAAGATATACTCTGTTCTTTGCCTTTTTAGTCACTCTGTACCCCTTCAATGGAAGAAATACCTGGATGTATTGTTCACACAGGTTTCCTATTGGTGGCTTCCTTGTAGATTGTCTCATTCAACCCTCACAAAAATCAGATATGCAGTAAGGATTTTTCCTATTTAGAATTGAAAATAAGTATCAAAGCCACTAGATGTCTTTCCCAGGCCATACCGAGGATATTTTTGGTAGAGCATTCTAGCATCTGGGGGGGTGATGCTTAGTACACCAGAGTGCTGCACACAGAGACATTACAGGGATGGTTATTGAATGTGGGTGGTGATTAGGTAACAGCAATTCCTATGTTCTCCAAGCTAAAATGTTTTCTAGTATGCCTAACATTTATCCCTGTGTGCCCTTGACTATAATAGCAGTTAACATTTTAGAAACGCAATATAAATGACAGTTCATTTGTCGCTCTTACACTTGTCTCATCCTTACAGTACTGCTCCATTCTCCCTAAAGGAAGGAACTTCCCTTGTGATGAGGGGGATTACAGAAGGCAAGGACCAAGACTTGCTGGTCTTTCCTCTGTGAGCAGTGCTTACAGTGTTTCCCCAAAACTACAGCTGGACTCAAAGAGCTGGTGCCTCATTTGATCCCCTCACTACAGTAATCTCCCTACTATATTCCCACCTGCGCCCTCACATGTGGAAAAGCTTGTGGGCTTTGTTTACAAAGCTTAAGCAACTGTCGCACATTAGAAGGAACTATCAAATAAAGTAGAAATAGCGTGAAGACTTGTATGCTACTTGTGTCCTAGATGAGAGGACTTTGTTCTAGCATCTGCTTTAGATTGCTACTTGGAGACCTCTGCCTACAAGGGATGGAATTCTTAGTGAGGATGGGCTGGTAAACAGAGAAAGGTACTTGTAACAATTGCAACAATAACCAGCTGCTAGGTGACTTTCCAGTGACATGGAATGCACATGAAGAAAACAACACAAACGCAACATCTAACAGTGGAAATCCCAATAGACATAAATGGCTGTGTGTAGAGCAAAGAGTAAAAGACTACCCCCAGAGGCCATTGTTTACGATTTTGTGGTAGAAAAACAGGAGGCTTGTTTGTTATTGTTTTCATGCATTCCAAATTCCTACTTACAGCATTTGTATTAGGGGAAAGGGAGAGAAGAAAAAAGTGAAGCTTGTATTTATTGGGCTTTCACTAGAGAATCAAATCTTATTTCTCTCAGGGAGGGAGAACATTGGTCTCACAAGGGAAATGGGTGTCCTCATTTCCAGTTATTGAAGACTAGAAATGACAGATCTTGTGTGTGTCAGCTGCTTCAAAAGTCAAGAATGGGAAAAGCCGGTGTGGTTTAGGTGTGGATTCCAGAAGCTTTTCCATCTATGCTTTGAGAACTCCTTGAGACAGCATGCCTACCAGCCTCAGACCTCACTCAAAAACAAACAAACAAAACAAAAGAAAACAAAAAACAATTCCACCTGTGGTATTGAGGCCAAATTCACTACTTGACTAAAGTAGACCCATCCTCAATACATAGTAGCTTAGATACCCAGGTACTGCCTGAACAGTATGTCCAAGATTGAACAGAGTCTATTTGGAAATCAACAGCAAAGGGGGCAGCTGGTTTCATAGCCTCCTCTACTTTACCAAATGCAGAGAGAAGAAAGGATATAGACAGAATGGCCCAGCCTAATACAGACACCACTCTCCACTTTCAAGTCATTAAATTTAGTGAGGAAATCACCATTATGCTCTTTAGGAGGATGCAAGAGAAGCAGGTATTAGGGAAAGGGAAAGCCATGTCCACATTCAGTGAAAAGTGTGGATTACAGAGAAGCTAATCCATTCTCCCAGCAAGGGGTCCCCCTGGGTTTCACCTAACACTCAGCTAAATGCCCTGGAAGTGAAAACATCCATGGATTATTGCATGGGGCCTGCTTTCAGCTTCTATTTGGAAAAATTCCCGATGGCTGGTGTGGACTTGAAATCCACCTCTGCCTTCTGCCTCCCAAATGCTGGGTTTAAAGCTTTGGACTACCATAGCTAGTTCCCAGATTTTGTCTGGTCCCTTTTGTCATTGCCAATAGTGACCTTCAAGTAGCACTTAGCCTGAGCAATATGACCTGTTCCCCAACTACCATCAGCAAAACTCAACAGTCTCTTTTCAGGAGCCTGGATTAGCCTGGCCATCAAACTGTGACTACAAGGTATTTGCCCACAAATATTACAGAAACATAAACACACAGTCCAGAGAGAGAGAGAGAAATGCTGTGTTAAATCAAGATTCTAAGCATCTTAACCTAAATGTGTTTTATTTTGGTTTTCACCATGACACATTAAGAAAGTCAGAATAGAAAACAATCATTTTGTTAGTGGTGAGATGGATCAAGTACAGGTTACCCTCCCTTTACTGCCTTAAGTTAGAGAAGGGGAGGTCCCCAGTGAAGCTTCTGCCCTTGTGTCAATTTCATTTACTCACCACCTAACTACAGATCATGCCACTCTCAAAGTCCATGAAATTGGGAGAGAGACTCACCTGTGTTTGAAATCCTTTGAGGTCACTGGCTGCAAGGTCACTGGCTGTGAGGAGCTGGGAAAAAAACAAAGGGGCTTTTCTTAATAATGTTTCTCAAGGTTTATATACAGCATCCCCAAGACAACCAATCTGCAATTACCATAGCCCAGACACACAGTCATAAAATGTGTATGTGTAGACCTCAGATGTTCTGAGCTTCAACCATGGGACTACAAACTCACTGACTTCCTCACCATTCTCTTGCTGTCTTCTCCTATATCCCTTCTTT